CGCGCTGTTGGACGGCACGCGCGTCGAGGACGAGGCGCGGACGTCGGGCGAGTTGCGGAAGCTCGCGGCGCGGATCAACGGCCAGTGCGCGGGCGCGGTCGAGTACCGCGAGATGCCGTCGTCGCGGCTGACGCTGCCCGTGCGGTTGGCGCTGTGGAACCGGGCCGACGCGCTCATCGGCACGGCGATCCGCGAGGGCCACAACCTCGCGCCCTTCGAGTACGCCTTGGTCCGCGAGAAGAACCCGGGCGTCACGTTGGCGTCGGAGTTCTCGGCGACGGCGTCGCTCATGAGCGGCGCGCTGACGATCAACCCCTTCGACCCGCCGTCCGTGGCGGCGGCCCTCGACGCGGCGCTCTCCATGTCCGCGCAGGAGCGGCGCGACCGCCTCGATCGGGATTTGCCGTACGTGAAGTCGCGGCCCTCGGGCCAGTGGACGAAGGAGATCCTCCACGACATGAACGTGGTGCACCAGCAGAAGCGCGTTTATGGGGACGGCGGCGAGGATCTGGTGGCGCCCCTGGACCACGGCGCGCTCAAGTCGGCCTACGCGAAGGCGAAGCGGCGCCTCCTGCTCCTCGACTTCGGCGGCACCTTGGTGCCCAAGGGCGACTACATCACCAAGGTCCTCAAGACGCAGCAGATCGGCGTGACGACGCTGGATCTGCTGGACGAGCGCGCGGCGAAGGCCCTCGAGGCCCTGTCCAACGACCCGAGGACGACGGTCTACGTCGTCTCGGGCGCGACGATGCACGCGCTCCACGCGCTCCTCGGCTGCTACCCGAAGCTCGGCCTCGCGGCGGCGAACGGGTTGTGCACGACGAAGCCGTCGCTCAAGACCTACGAGACGACGCGCCGCTGCGGCGTCGCCGACTACGGCACGGACTGGGACGCCGTGAAGGCCGCGGCGCTGCCGATCCTCCGCCGCCACGCGGCCCGGACGAACGGGTCGTCCGTGCTGAGCCGCGACCCGGGCGTCGCCTGGTCCTACTACCGCGCGGACCCGGAGTGGGGGCGCATCCAGGCCGTCCAGCTCATCGGCGACCTCGAGGCCGTGCTCAAGCCCTACGACGTCTCGGTCGTGCACCTGGACGGCATGATCGAGGTCGTGCCGGGCCGCATGCACAAGGGCAACGTCGTCAAGCACATCCTCAACACGCTCGACGAGCCGCCGGACTTCCTCTTCGCCTGCGGCGACTCGAAGACGGACGAGAAGATGTTCTCCTCCGTCTACTCGCACCTCGCGGACGCGCCGACGGCCGAGCACAACCAGGCCTACACGGTCACGGTCGGCAAGAAGGCGTCCAAGGCCCTCTTCTACCTCAACGACCACGCCCACGTCATCGACGCCCTCGCCAAGCTCGCGAGCGCGTGCGAGCCGGCGTCCTAGGGCGCGCGCGGCGCGTTAGAGTACCAGGCTCCTGTATTACGAGGTGCTACTTCCAGTCGCCGATGAACTGCAGCAGGCCGAGGGCGTGGTCCTTCGAGAAGAGGGGCCGGTTCGGGAGCCCGCGCCCAAACGAATATTCGCCAGGATCTTCACGCGACCAGCGGAAGTTGATCTCGAGGCCCTTGGCGCGGTAGACGTTCTTCCCGTGCTCTTTGCGGCTGTCTGTTGTGTAGATACCAGCGTTGCAGTGGACCGGGTCGTCCTCACAAGCTTCGCCGTGTCTTGGGACTTCGTACGGAAAGTCCCAGCGATACTCCTCATTTTCAAAGCCTGGAATCAACGCGGCCACGGGGCCGCTAAAGAGACGTAAAAGTTTGCCGTCGTCGCGAACCAAGGTAACACGCGCTTTCCCGATGTTCTCGGTCTGCTTGTTGAACGTCCAGAATTCGTCATTTGGGTCGTGAGGCTCGTTGCCCGTTCGCTCTGCCCAATACGAACCAGTGGAACCAGTGGAAATCAGTGACTGAGTGGATTCATCGTCGGACTGGTCTGATTTGTAGCGTAGGCCGCGTTCGTTAAAGTTGCGCGGCGCTTCAAGGACGATCGTCTCGTGCCGAAGTTTCAAAACACAAGAATAAGTCAGATCTTCGAAGTCTCCTCCCTCACAACCGTCCTCGAGATACCCGCGCTCGGCGATTCGCTCGCCGTTCTTCAGTAACACCTCCACGACGCATTCGAAGTTGTATTCGGGCTGGGCGTCCGGCTCGTTCCATCGCATAAAGATAATCTTCAGAACCTCGTGGCCCGGCCATTCTGCATTTTCGATTCTGCGGATCACCGCGGGCGACTGCAGGATCGGCACATTGGTAAGCGCGGCCAGGAACGGCCGCGACGCGGTCCGCGCGAGGTTTTCCTTCGAGCTCAAGGCGAGGGCGCCGAATTCGCGCACTCGAAGCAGAGATACGAGCGCCGGAAACTGAATGTCGAGCGCGGTGGAAATCGATAGGTCGGGCGCCCGTTTCTTGAGGAAGCGCTTCAGTCTGTCACGAGCTTCTTTGTCACGCCGGGAGCTCTTCTTCGTTTCGCCCGTGGCACGCTTCTTGCCGCCCTTCTTCTCCTTCTTCTTAACCATATTTCTTTGGTCGCGCGGCGCGGGGGGCGCGTCGAGGAGGGCGGCCAAGTCTCGCCACAAATCGAGTCGAGTGTGGGTCGAGCAGGATCGGCGATCGCCGCACTAAAACGCGTTAGACGCCTCGTTAGGCCTACCTCCACGCCCCCGCGAACTCGAGGAGGGCGTAGAAGTTGTCGAGGGCGTGGATCTGCTTCGTGCGCCAGGGGTCGTTGTAGGCGAAGGGCATGAAGTCGGACGTGTCCTGGGCCCAGCGGAAGCGGAGCTCGATGCCCCTCGCGCGGTAGACGTTCGCGTCGTCGTCCTCCTTGAGGCAGTCCGTCGTCAGGATGGCCGCGTTGGAGAGGATGCGCTCGTCGTCCTGCTTGAACTCGTGGAGCGGGATCTCCCAGGGCCGGTCGAAGTCGTAGTCGTCGTTCTCCCAGTAGTGGACGTCGGGCACCATGCAGACCTTTCCTCGGAAGATCGTCAGGAACGAGCCGTCGTGGCGCACGAGGCTCACGCGCGCGACGCCGACGTCGTTGGTGTCGGAGAGGAACCGGCCGAACTCCTCGTGGCCGGCGTCGCTGTCGAAGCCGCCGTCCCCGACGAACGAGCCGTCGTCGCCGTAGTCGCGGAGCGCCTCGAGGACGACGGGCTCCGGGTCGCCGCCGACGACGGTCGTGTCCGCGCCCGGCGCCGAGGCGTCGTCCTCGTCGTCGCTCGACGGCTCCGCGTCCCCGAAGTCGAGCCGCGCCGCGAGCTCGCCCTCGTCGCTGCACCCGAGGTCCCGGAGCCGGCCGCGCGAGAGCACGCGCGCGCCGTGCGCGAGCCGCAGTTCGACGA